AACTCAGGTCCTTGTGCTTGTGAGGCTGGCAGTGGAACCACTGAGCTAAATCCCCGGGCCTGGTAGCTACTTCTTTAAGTCATACATTATCTTCACTGCTTCTGGTGAAGATGGAGACTATGTTGCTCCTCCAGTGGATGTCTGGCTCTGGGGAAGGGCTGTCCCTCTGTGTCCCTGCCACATTTGTTAGATGGTAGACTGGGTTCAAGCAGGAATTTGGAGTTTTCCCTTTTTTCTCTTGAACGGTTTTAAAGAACAGGGCCACACAATTTCCTTTGCAATCTTGATTGCACTTGTATCTGTGGTTGTCAGACTTGGTAGCCCAGAATTCCCAACTGATGTGCTGTAGCACCTTAGTACCAACCTCAGGTGGTTACAAGTATGGCAGGTACTGATCCCATGGTGAGCACTTCCCTTTCCTTCCAAGGATTGTCAGCTCCTTGAAGGGCAGGATGTAAAACAGGATGGGAAGCAGTGCCCACCAACCTCCCAGCCCCAGCTGTTTTTGCAAACAACATAATGAACAACATAATGAATGAGAAGAAAGATGAAGATATTTTGGAAGGGTGTTTACTGTTGAACGGTGTGTATCAGTTATTTAAACCAGAAACAAATAGAAACAAAAAAGAGAAAGCAGTTCACAGACTGTCTAGAAGTGCTAATGGCACGTTCAGGAACATTATCTTAATTTGTTTCTTGAATGTAACCTTAAGAGGGGCAGAAAACACATTCTGATGCAGTTTATTCCTCAGTGACGATAATTTATGGACTATTCTCTCCTCTCCTTCTTAGAGATTATTGGAAGGCAGTTCTGAGATTATTTTTATTATAGCAATTTCAGATATCTGAAAAGGTATAAAAAACAAAATAATGGACATTTATATACTTATAGCTCAGCTTAATACATAAGCCATTGACATACTTAATAAAATGTTGAGATACCTCTTCGACTGGATTCTTCTCACTCCCTCCCTAGTTCCCCTAAACAACCATTATTTAGATCTTGATGTTTATTATCCCAAATTGTGAATTTACACATTTAGTACAATACATAGTATTTTGAATGTTTTTAGACTCTGTAAATGTACCTTCTTTGTAAATTCAACATAATGTATTTGAGATTTATCCACCTTGATCTGTGTAGCTTTACATTCTTATTTTTAAAATGTTCTAATAGTATTCTAGTGATTGATTTCAAAAGTTATTTCAGAAATTTATATTTTGGAGGGATACTTTTGTATGTATTTTATGTAAGCTAAAAGTAATCAAAGCTTAAAGTCCTTTTTTTTTAAATTTTAGAAGATGGGGGCCCAGGGATGTAGCTCAGTGGTTTCACTGCCTGCCTTGCAAGCGAAAGGACCTGAGTTTGATCCCCGGTACAAAAAAAAAAAAAATTTAGAAGTTGGTGTGTGCTTGCTTAGGCCAAAGGCCATTGAAGTTCAGAATGAATCCCCAGATTTAGTATTGGATCTCTTACCAAATGATTTCATCTGTGGTTGGATTTTTGTATTTAAAACTGAATCATTGACACTGGACGGCTAGAATGCTGCTGTGTTTAGGGACCAATAGCAGTGCCAGCTGGAATACACAAATAGGATGTGCATGAGTGTGCACCCTAAAGTGAATGCTTGGGAAGGGTTAGCATAGGGAAGCCAGTTTCTGCTTTACATGGTAACTTCATGTTGCGAGCTGAACAGCCCTTTGGTATCACACATCGCCATATGTCTTGTCTAACAATTTTGAGTGTTTTCTCCTCTCAAAATCTTACATTTTTAGGTAAATAAAGTTAAACAAGAAAAGGCTATTTTACATGCCGAAGTTCTTGAACAGAGAAAGGTCTTAGAAAAATGCAACAGAGGTATGTCTTTCTGGTCTTTTTATGTAATTTACTTATGTAATTTGTTTTGTTTACATGTGTTTGGTGTTATTTTATACTTGTGCTTAAAGATTCTTGTGGCCAAAATTGTCTAGATTATGTTTTCCTAGCAGTAAATCTCTCATTCCTACTATTTTATCTCTAGGGATATATATAT